CAAGTAGTCCAAAAAAGAGCAGAATTTTGTAAAGCCTTCTCTTCGCTTCATAGGCTTCATCAATAACTCTAAAGTTTTGCCGGAAAATCGGAGGAATTATGTTTTCCAACTCACCTCAGTGTGTGCGCTCGGCTCTCCATTTCAACAACAAAATGATTTCAGAATCTATCATTTCAGTTTTTATTGCTAACCAGTTCCCGAATTCCCGGAATGAGCCATTCGCTGAATGGACAGATTGCCGATAACAAAGTGGCGGGAGATAAAAGATTTAAAACAAAAAAGAGAGCCCCGGATAAACAACAAAAACCTTAGTAAACGAATAGTTCTAAAAATGGAAACATGGAAAAAGTTGATGTTTAATTCAAGGCTTTTCTCTTCTATTTCTTCAAGCATACAATAGGGTCCAAGAGTTTAGAAACACTTTCAAAATACCGTATTCTCTCTAATAGTAGTGCGCACTACTATTTTTTGAACCCCCTCCTGGACCGCAATACTATTAGAGAGTGCAGTACTATTAAAGAGTTGTATCATTTACCAAAGTAAGACAGATATAAGATTTGTCCCAAAAATTCTTGCGATTCTTTCACGTACTCCTTTGGCTTCTTTTGACATACAGTTGTGGGCCGGCGAGTTGACAATTTGTGCCTTGACAAACAATAAAAAGGTGTTTTTGCCCTTTGCACAACAATTTTAGATTTTTTGCTAACTTTTTTATGTGAAGAATAGTTAATAAATGAATAAAAAAAAGCCTCATTTTTGCTTGCTTGAATAGCTTTAGAATGTCACATAAACATAAAGTCAAAAAGATTTAGATGAAAAAGAAGCAAACAGAAATTCAAATTCTCGGGGATGCACTACTATTTTTTGAACCCCCTCCTGGACCGCAATACTATTAAAGAGTGCACCTCTATTAGAGAGAATACGGTAACAAGTTTTCATAAACAAATGAAAGATTTCAATATTTAGTAGAATATCCCTTTGCCTTAATCACGGAGAATTGTAACGGTCCAGAAGATCAGCCTTGCTTTCGTTGTTTCCATTCAACTCCCCAAACCATCTTACAATTAGTTTTGCCCTTCGCCGGCTATGAAAAGTTTTGGATTCTTCACTCGGCTCCCAAATGTAAATAGATTTCTTTCTCATTTCAAAGAGAAACATAAAATTTATCGCGTAAAACAATAATTTCAATGAATCTGACAAAAACAAATGATTTGAAAATGAAAAAGAAACGACGACGAGGCGCTCCCATCGACTACCTCCAAATGGCGGCGACGTCAACTGGAATGCGACGTCGATACAGACAGTTGAAATCAGGGAATGACAAAGCAAAGAATTCACAACATCAATACAGACAGTTGAACTTTTGACATGAAAGCGTTAAACCAGTAGATTAAAGGAGAATTTGATTCCGATCGACGTTCGATGCTATTTATTCAATCAACCGATACAATATCGTTCAACGGGGTTGAGAAATGCAAATTGCTATATTTCGTTGTGCGTTGTCTCGTCTTCAACCAGCACTCAAGCCTCTAGAGAAAATGTTATGCAAACAACTTGCCATTTTTCAAAAAAACACTCGAACTTCATGGCAAAACTCCGATTGGTCAAAGATCTCAAAGTGAAATGTCCAGCCACCATTGGGGAGCAATTGTTGAATGACTCTCGTTTCAGTGCGTTGATCGCTGCATTTTGTTCTTCAGCCGCTTTTCCGCGAATGGTTGGAGGAAAGCCGCGAACAAAATGCTTTCTCGATACAATGTACCAAATTGTAAAACCTTTCAGCATTTCAATAGAGATCATTCGACAGCTCTCTTCACTCAAAGCCGAGATTATTTTGGGCCTCAATGAGACAAGATTTCTATGAAACGATCGGTTTGTTTTTAGATGGGCTCTCGATTTTCTAGAAAGGGGAAAGCATTGGCGCTGCTTTTTAAAACAAACCCGACATTTGGATTTTATTTAAATGATTTCCATTTTATGCAAGCTTTCAAAAAGTATCATCATTTTGAAAGGAATTCAAAGTATTCGCCAGTTATGGAAGCATAAGCATTCGCCAGCATAAGCAAAAGAAGGTTGTGAACTATTTGAGAGAAAAGTGGGACAATTTCCTCGACTTGGACGGGATTTTGGATGATTTCGGAAGGGGGGATTTTTGAAAGAAACGAACTCTCAGGAGAACGATTTACAAAAGAAAACTGTCGTCGAAATTCGAGAATGTTTATATTGGATTGCGGAAGCGGTGGTCGACGATGAAAGCTCGAAACAATATCAGATCTTTTTCTTCTTCGCCAAAGCTTTTCCGGTATAAGTCTTCGTTTTTTGTTCAGTTCAATAGTTTTTATGTAATCCGATCATTTAAAGTTATCTTGTCTTTAAAGTCTTTAAAGTTATCTTTTTGTTGATTTTAAATTAGCCTATTTATTCTCACATTCTCAGCCGCCATCTAATTACCGATCATTCTCCTCAGTCTGGCACTTTGTACTCAAAAATCTTGTAATCATACCCTTTCTGGCTCACTTAATTCTTCGATTCAATTATAAACTTGAGCATTAGTGAACCAGAAAGAGTGTGTTTACATTTTCGAGTACAAAGTGCACAGCTTAAAAGCTTATTTGTCTTATTTTTCTTGATTGAATATCGTCCTCATTATTTTGATCAAAATAAAGTTCTTAATAATTTATATGATAAAGTAAATACACGAGAAATTTCTAAGAACAAGAAGTATAATGATTTTGGATGATTTCTGAAGGGGGATTTTTGTAAGAAACGAATTCTCGGGAGAACGTGAATTGCTTATACAAATACCAAGTTTCTAGACAAATTAGATAAATCAAAAAATCAAATTCATACAAGCAATCACAAAGGTTAAAAGAAAGGCGTTCGTTTGAGCGATTTTCGTTTGAGTATCCATTCCATCGTCGAGAATCGGAGACAATGTTGGCATCGTGTCGACGTACTGTAATTCTTTTAGATTACAGTATTCTATAGTATTTGATCTTTACAATAGCCTGCTTCATGGTCAAAGCTGCTGTATTGGAAACGGAATACGGCAGCAAAATATTTGACCTAATTTTAGCGACAAAGTTGACTGATTAGCCGTCTACGATCCAACTTATTTTTCAAAAATTGAAAGCCATTTAATCGAAAGTCAATTGAAATCGATTAATTGAAAGATCCAAAATTTATTTACCATTGTCGAATTGTAGTCGAGTTGTTCATTCAACGGAGCGATTATGAAATTTGTGATCATTTGTCGCGCGGCACCCGGTCGATCGGTGGGCACAAAGTGACCAGCACCCTGCAATTTTTGTTTTTGAGCTTATAAAGTGCAGTAAAGCTAAAGAAAAAACATCAGACAGAAAGGGTACTGTAGGCTTAACTGGTTTAACAATTTTAATGCAAAAGTTATTTCTCTTGTAAGACAGAAAAAGTACTGTAGTCTTGGCCAGTTCTTCCCTCTCTTTCTTCCTTTTGTTTCCTATTTCTTCTCGCCGAAAGGAGGTGCCGATAGCTCAGTGGTAGAGCATCAGGCTAGTAAGCAGAAGGTCATTGGTAAGGTGGTGGGTTCAATTCCCCTCGGTTTACGAATCCTTTTCCATTCCCCTTTTTACTTTATTAACTCGTTTAACAAGTTCAATACAAAGTAGGATAGAAATAATATAAAGTTTGTAGCAAGATATCTGCTATTTTATTTACTCTTTTGAATTTGCACTCACTTTGACAGTCATAATATCGATGAGAATCCCTTTTGTTGGATCAGTGTACCGTTGAGTGTAGCCAGCCGATTGGCCAGAGAACCACCACTCGGTTCGATCATTTGACTGCGAAAAAAGTGCTGATTTCGAAGAAAAAAAAAGAAACAATTAGTGCACTAGAAGGGGTGCTTTTCGAAGCACAAAGCACAAAGTACACCTCACCGTCATTCCATTTTGCTTTGCCACTTCTTTCACAAACCATGCATCACCTAAATAATTGCACACCGTATCCACATCTCCATTGTAAATCAAGAAACGGAAATTTGGATTCTGAAAACTTATTTCAAGGTCATTTTTGATTTCTTTACCTTGTTTACAGCAAGGAAATCCTTGAAAAATGAGTATTGATTTGTCCATGTCATGTTGTATTGCCAATAAATGGGATCGCTGAAAATTTCATGGGTAAAATTGGTTACCTTTTTTTGCAAAAGTTTATCGGTTTAATTTTTGTGCATTTCACTCACTTGCAATCCTCCCAAGTGAGCCCAGTTTTCATCCAAGCGGCGTCGATGTTGAGTGCCTAGATTTTAAGTAAAAACTTCAGTAATCAAGAATATAAAAGCTACAGAAAACCTAAGTAATACTGTAGGCATTACTGTAGTTTTTAGCACTTCATAGAATTTTCTATGAAATTATCTATGCAAGGATTTTTAGAAAAGTATGAAATTAGGTATTTAAGTGACGCTGCAGTAGGATTCACTTTAGTTTTTAGAGCCTTGCATAGAACAAAGCTCTGTATTCTTTTATTATTATTGTTCTATTATTATTTAATTCTATTATTATTCCTTTTCGATACCTTTTGCACATCTGGATTGTTGGCCCAGATCCAAAGGCCGGCGTCATTCCAGCACGGATAGCCGAAGAAAGGATCCGACGAGTCGTAGTTGAAGCTTTTCTAGAGGCAAAATCGTTTTATAATGTCTGAAGCTTTTCTCAAAGTTTATAAAATTGACTTGCTCTTTGTTAGTGAAAACCAACTGCGAGGCTCGGGTACTGCGCACGGATCTCCGGGGTTTTCTCGGCGTTTCGGCGAATCCTTCTCGTTTTTGCCGCGTACTGTCGATGGTTGGCGCCTAAAGCTAGCTGTTTTTTAGATTTTTGAGAGATGGATAAGACTTATTATTACCGATTTACTATTAGCAATATAGCTGCTATCGAATTTTTATCAAATCTAAAGTTTATCCATCACACCTCCCGTTTTCTTTGCCCAATCCGCTTGCCAGGTGGGATCGAAACAGTCTTGATAGTAGTTGTAGGGATCCATTCTATCGGGCAAGCTGACCAATCGAAAGATTAAATCCCCGCAAGTTGAGTTGTCCGAGGAAAAATCGAGAGAGCTATTAGTGGCAAGGTAACTGTAGTAATTGTACGTGTCCATGTCATTCAATTGACCGACATCCTGGGTACAGTTTGCCTTCAAGAAGTCCCATTCTCTAAAAAGAATCGGAATTTTCACTCATGTACGCTAACTAACTAACTTTAAAGCATCTTTTAGAAAACGCTTAACAAAGCTCTTTTAGTGTGTACTTTGTGCTCATAAAAATGCACCTTTTCTAACGTATGCGAGTCTTTCGCGTTCACACAAGAACAATGAGAAATTCAGTGCGCTAAAGAGGGTGTGTTTCTTCTTAAGCACAAAGGGCATATTCGGCAAAAAATGAAGTATAACAAATATTTAAAATATTGATTCTTACTGCATCGAGACTCGACCGTGATACGCAGACCATAAGACCAACGAGTTGTACAATTTTTTCACGTCCATGTACCCGTTTCCAATTGCCGAACCCTAAAAATTGCACATTTTCCCTTGTACTTCTTCTATTAGGTTGATGCATAAGTGTTTTTGTTCCTTTTCGTCTGCCGTTTCAAGCCAACAAATGCACGAATTAAACTACGGTTGATTTCATTAGAAAAACCAATTATTTTTCTGCAAAATAACATTAAAACGGGTTTAAAAATATTTAATGCCTGGATTTTCTTGAGAGTATGAAGTCGGGTAGTCAAAAAGGGCTAACTCGATGATGCGGTTTAGACACCTTAGCTAAAGAAAACCTATCTTCGTGTCAATAGATAAAAGATAGAGAAAAAAAGTTTGATATTTCGCCAAAATTTCAGAGAAATTCATTCAGCCAATTTTCCCGTAGAGTTTTTTATAGATTTTTACGAAAAAGGCGTTTTTCACTCTCGAATTTGCTTGAAAGTGAACCGAAATTCATTTAAAAAGATGCAAATTGGACAAAAAAAACACTTTTTTTATAGAGCAAACTATAGATTAATTGGTGAATTTGTTACTTTTTAACAGAAGTACGAAAAAAACGAAAAGACTTATGCATCAACCTATTAGACAATTTAAAAGTACTGTAAAGTCTCGATTTTCCGTAACGAAACAAGTACAGATCGATCCGATCGAACTTTCGCCTTTTTACCGTTTTTCTCAGCTTTTCCTAAACCAATTCTAAAACGGTAGTTTCCTAAAACCAATTCTAATCCTACAGGTTTACTTTACAGGCCCTTTAATATACTTTTCAAGACTTTACTTGGAAATTTGGATTTGGAAAAGTTCCATCGGAGATCCCTTGGCCTAAACGAGCGGTCAACATCGGAATGTAGACACCCGCGTACGATTCACCAGACAGGAAAAACGATCGGTTTTTGTACTGAGTGTAACTAAAGATATATTAACTAGCGCAATTATTTAAATAGAAGGCTCTTCCGTTTGTTAAGTTCTATTTCGTGCCTTAACTACAGTTCATTAGAGATTAAAAGAAATACGGGTAGCTCTTAAGGTTAGTTTTAACGTAAAAACCGACGAGTTGAAGAAATCGGTGAGCGCCTCGTAGTTCATATCTCGCGATTGATCATCGTTTGCGTCGGCGAATTTCGGATCTTTCGTGTCATACGAGAAACCGACACCGATTGGCGATTCGAGGAAAAGCATGTTCGCTCTCTAAATAGATGTTTCTCTCGAAAAATCTTTCTAAATATCTTTCTTTCAAATGCTACTATAATCTTTGTACAATTTTTGCTTTTACAGCTAACTAGAAGGGAAGAAATTCTTACATAATTCCACGAATATTTATTTTCAAAGAGGGTTTTTCCATCAGCCGCCACATAGAATGGACCCATTTCCTCAAAAGCTCCACCAAAAGACGAACAACCGGGACCTAAAAGAATAATATGGTAAAGTAGATTTTCTAATCTATTACAATTAAAAAATATGTTTTTTTAAAGATTTTATCCGTTATCTTCAAGAAAAACAACTTCAAAAGCTTTCTTTTCATCAATTGAAAACAAATGTTGTCTATCATTTTTCTTTTCACAAATTTTCACAAAATCCTCACCGCCATTAAACCAAACAAGCACTGGATCAGTTGTCGGATTTGTCTTCGACTCGACTAGCCTAAATTTTCTTGGTAATAGAAAGTTTTTTTATCCAATTATAGAGATATCAAAAGTATCAAGATACATTAAAAATCTCACCAATAATGCATTTTCCAGTCTCCACCTTTACCAGCATTCAAATATCCCGAATAAAGACCGTAATTGATTTGAAAAGTAAGCCCGGGCAAGTTGGTGACCTGGAAATAAAAAAAAACAGTGAAATCTTTTAAAAGAAAATATATCTTCGAAACATTACTATGATTATTAAAGTCTTTAAGTTCGTAAATTTTATATATGTTGTGTCCGATTTAGATTGAGCTTATCGCGGACGTCCTATTTAGATTCAACCTAAATCTTACATAGATTGAACAATAATATAAACATGCTTAATATATGTTCTTAAGCGTTTTCTGTAGTTTTCTGCATTTTTCAAAGGTCTTTTATTGATTACAGTCTATATCGGACGTCCGATACAGATCGAACAATAATAAATGTGCTTAGTATATGTTCTTAATCGCATCTATTCTGTTAACGCTAATAAATTGTTTCATAGTTGGGTTTTCTTTTCAGAAAAAGACAGTAACAGACCTTTGAAGAATGCAGAAAACTACAGAAAACGCTTAAGAACATATATTAAGCACGTTTATATTATTGTTCAATCTATATAAGATTTAGATTGAATCTAAATCGGACGGCAATCTAAATCGGACACAACATATGTTCAATCACCATAGAGCTTTCAAAATTCATAAACACTCACCTTGTCTGCTGTGGGATCGGCTGCGTAGACTGTGCAAAAGCAAGAGCTCAGAAAAATCGCCCAAGTTCGAAGCATTTTCGAAAAAACTAAAGAAAAATACGATTTTACTTAACAAATTTTCTGAAAAATACAAAGAAATGAATCAAAAATGAAATCAAAAATTGTTTAAAGATGGATTTGTATAGAAAATGTTCGTTTTTTGGCAAGAATAGGTAAAAACCCTAGATGAATAGGTAGATTTGATTGAATTTCTGCGCTCAAACTGAACAGTTTCTTCAATGATTCAATGATTCAATGAAAAGAGGAAAAAAAAAGAATAGGTCAATGTGTAAACAAACAAAAAAACAATATGTAAAAAGTAAAAGTTGATTAGAAAAAAAAACAGATTTTTTAAAAATGTAGGATCAAATAAAATAATGACTGCGAAAAGCTTTTTAAGCTTTTTATGCGCTATAGTTTCTATTCATTTTTGAAACTCAAACATTAAATGAAAATTTCAAAGGATTGTTTCAGTAGTTAAAGTTGCTTTAGTTGCTTGCTTTAGTTGCTTGCTTTAGTTGCTTGCTTTAGTTGCTTGCTTTAGTTGCTTGCTTTAGTTGCTTGCTTTAGTTGCTTGCTTTAGTTGCTTGCTTTAGTTGCTTGCTTTAGTTGCTTGCTTTAGCTTTATTTTTGGATTATTTACCCCCAGCTACTTTTCAAAATACTTTTTCTACTTTTTCAATTCAACACTTTTCAAGATACTTTACAAATTTTAGAGATTTTAAGCAGTATTTCTATCTTGTCATAAAGTTTAGAACGTTTGACTGGCAAGATCACTTGCATTTTACTTTTCGCTAAATTGACATTAACGAATAGTTTTTTGCGAAAAGTACCAGCTTTACTGACAAGAGAAAAGCAACTGGATAGGCTGGCCAAATGCCATAAAACTACCCCCAGAAAAAGTGGTTTTGAAGAAAAAAAAGGTGCCCCGTAGTACCAATGTTAGTAGTTAAAAGTAGAAATTCTTATGAGAAGCATTTTGAAAAAGACTCGGAATTGAAATGGAGAGAGCAATTACCTTTATAAAAACAAAAAAAGACTAAACTGGGGACTCAAACCCGAGACGGTTTGCCTTGGATTCTAGTCGACTACCACCCGGCCACCACTACGCTGTAAGGTCTCTGGGAAATCTGCTCATAAACTCGAGGGATGATTTTTAAAGTTCCATAATAAATTTACATGCTTAAACTTTTGACAGAGTGCTGTTTAGCAAAAACGAAAATGAGATTCGGATTCAGTGTGAAATTCTACATTGATAGGTCTATGATAGGTTCTACATTCATTGATTCATTGATAGGTTCTACATTCATTCATTCATTGATAGGTTCTACAATTCATTGATTCATTGATAGGTTCTACATTGACTCATGTCATTCGACCAGCCTATCCAGTTGATCTTCCCTTGTGAATAAACGGAAATTTTAAACGAAAACTTTAAACTGAAAAGCTTCAACTAAAATGAAAAGCCAAAGCCAATTCTACGCCAAATTTCATAAAGCTCACTATCTCCGAAAAGCAATGAATTGAAAAAAGAAAATGGAAGAGAAAGACAGTCAAATTGCCGGTTAGTCAATCAGTCAGTCATTATTCCAAATCTAGAATGGGCACTGATTGTGCAAAAAAGGGAATGGGAATGGCGGGTGGAGCATTTTACAACCAAAAATTACGAGCCCACAAATGACCAAATTTTTGGAAGGGGAAGCAGACTTTTTTCCCATTTCTTGCCAACTGTACACCTTCTATGAAGTCAAGAAATTTGCGAGCTTTGGTCAAATTTCTAAGAATAGGATTAATCGTGGGAAAATTGAGGAAACCAGAAAGTACACCAGAAAGTACACTAGAAAGTACGCCAGAAAGTACACCAGAAAGTACACCAGAAAGTACGCCAGAAAGTTCACCAGAAAGTACACCAGAAAGTACACCAGAAAGTACACTAGAAAGTACACTAGAAAGTACGCCAGAAAGTTCACCAGAAAGTTCACTAGAAAGTTCACCAGAAAGTTCACTAGAAAGTACACCGGAAAGTTCACTAGAAAGTACACCGGAAAGTACACTAGAAAGTTCACCGGAAAGTACACTAGAAAGTTCACCAGAAAGTTCACCAGAAAGTACACGAGAAAGCGTGCCTTTGCAGTGTTTGCGCACAAAGTACAGAAGAGTGTAAACGCGACCTCTTTTTTTTGGGTTAATATCGCATAAAAGTAGAAACCGTCAGTGCACCAGAAGCGGTTTGTTTCCATTTCCGTTGAGCACAGAGTGCAATCTGTACAGGTACTCATAATCAGTCTTGCGGATGTAGCTCAATCAAAAGATAACCGATTTACACAAAAATTTTACAGGTAAATTTTGAGTGCGTCTCCTGTAGTGAACTGACTAATCTTTTGGTAATTTTTAGTTTTAAAAATTCATATCTGTACATTATTGATTGAGAACTAACAAAAACTTAGCTCTTCTCAGTAAGCAGATCGTTTAAAAAGCTTTAAAAAAAAGATGATTACTGTTATCTGAATGAAAATCAGTCTAGATTTATGAGTTACCAGCTTTTTCTTTTAAAGTCCCGCCGATTCATTTTTACTCTCTTTTTTTTTCTTTCATTTTTCATCTTGAACTCTTTTGTATTCATTGAATTTACCTTGTTTACGTTTGGCAAATAATTTTCGCATTCCGAAATACTTTTCACATTCTCTTTTCAATCCAGAACTTTCAAAAATGGTGAGTTCATTCTGGGGCCAAGAAATAACAACGAAAAACCTTGATATTGGAATTGTGACCGAGGAATGATTCGTTCGTTAACTTCATTCTGGAAGGATTCTGTTCCACAATTAATCCAGCCATCTCCTTTACACCGAGCAGTTTTTGTTGATTTGCCTGGTCAATAATTGCGTTCATCCGAGCCAACGGAACCATCGCAGATGACTAAATATACAAATCATAATCTAAAGATTAATAAACAAAAGTTGCCTTCACGACAAAATATTGGGTAACTTATCCACAAAATAGTGGGCAACTTGTCCACAAAATGGTAGGCAACCTATCCACAAAATGGTAGGCAACTTGTCCACAAAATGGTAGGCAACCTATTCACAAAATAGTAGGCAACTTGTCCACTGTGGCGAATTGCCACTGCTCTGCAGTTATTCAAAATTCAATACAAAAGTTCAAATTATTAGAATAATGTTAAAACACAAGTTTAAATGATTAAAATAATGTTAAAACACAAGTTAAAATACACAATTCAAAGCTGATGGATAAACTACCGTAATCAGTCACTAGACGATATTCAGTTGTTCATTTTGTCGTAGCTTGTGTACTTAAAAGCCCATTATTTAAGCTTTATCTTGAGTCAGTTGTGGGCTCCTTTTTCTATTCATCCCTTCTTTCAAGTGTTGAAATAATTGTGATAGTGCCAGGCATCCAGAGTCGAGTTGAGAAGGACCAATGGACCCGGTGAACTTCTTGCCATAGCTCCTAAAAAAACAAGATTATTATACATAACAAGAGAGAGTCTCTTACCCCATACCATGACCGCTTCACCACCAAAGTTCACCGTCGGACGCAAGTATTTAGAGTCTCTTTCGAGTAACTACGGTGAACTTTGGTGGTGAAGCGGTCATGGTATGGGGTAAGAGACTCTCTCTTGTTATGTATAATAATCTTGTTTTTTAGGAGCTATGGCAAGAAGTTCACCGGGTCCATTGGTCCTTCTCAACTCGACTCTGGATGCCCAGCGCTACAAGACGCTACAAGACGATCCTGGAGAACAAATTTCTTCCTTTTGCGACCGCCAAAATGGGACAAGGATGGCTCCTCTACCAGGACAACGCTCTTTGCCACAAAAGTCAGTTGCTTATGGGCCACACTATTCGACTTGCCAATGGAGGAAGTGTTCGACTACTCGGATGGTTCCGCGCGAATCGTGTTCAACTCGTTTCAGCTTCTCCATACAGCTTCGATTTGAATGTTATTGGACACCTATGTGCGTTTATCAAGACGAAACTCAAGGGAAGACGGTTTAGCTCTAAGGTACTTCGTACGGCGAACGGCGAGTTTGGGCCACCATTGCGCCACAAATTTTACGCGATCTAGTTCACAGTATTGCAGCTTAAGGTCAAGCGGCCATTGCAGCTAAAGACGGACCTACAAAATATTGAATTTTTAGCTCCTAGGTATGTGCCGCCAAGACTTTTGTCCACTGTTTTTGTGACCTTTTTGTCTTTGACGTTTATTTTTGTTGTCTAAAATAAACTTTCGAGTTCAATGCTTGGTCATAGCTAAAAGTAGAGTAAAAATGCTCAAAAATACTTGTGACAACTTTTTTATAGCCTCTCGGGAAGGTTCCTAAATTTGCGTTTGAAAGTTGCCACCCAGGACCCGCCAAGACTTTTGTCCATGACTGTATATAATTTTATATAATATATAATTTTGATTTGAAGAAGATAATTTAAATCAAAACATATATATCTATCAAATAGTTTTTCGAGAAACTTTAAAATCATTAAACCATTTTAAATTATCAAAAAGTTTCTGGGAACCTAAAAAAAAGTCAATTTTGAAATGTCTAAAAGTTCATGTGGATTCTGTGAATCTAAAAGTTGAGGATTTGAAGCTGAATACCTTAGCTAGATCTAGATTTATATTAGATTAATATCTAGATTGATAAAGTATACTAATCAAAAAACGTTTCTGGCTTCGATTTCGATTCTTTTCTCAATTTTCTAGAGAGTCTATTTTGCAAGTCGCTTTTTTCGCTTTTTTTTTGTTTAAAGCTCAACTTTCATTGATCAAACAAGGATAAAAACTTGTTGACTAATAGACAATACTAATAATGTTTCTAAATTTTCATAAAAACACATACCGTAAATACTACAATAGCCCCCCACCCCTCTCGTACAGTCGCGTAGTCGCAAAAGCTTTTTAGTATTTCATTTTTTTCAAAGGGCCCGTACTTTCAAAAAATGCGTCTTTGATATCAAAAAATAGCCCTGAATTTCAGGGCTATTTTTGATACCTAAGCGCGCATTGTAGCATAAACCAGT